ACATTTTAAGACTTTTTAAGGCCTTATATTAGGAAAACGTTATTTAAGACATTAAGACTTTTTAAGGACCCGCGGACACCCTGATTATATGTTTAGACTAGGGCTGTCAATCGATTAAAATGTTTAATCTGATTAATCACATCCTTTTTCTGTGATTAATCGCGATTAATCGCACACTTCATGAAATTAAGCATAGACCATTTATCTTGTTTCAAATGTTTATTTTGTCATCATTTGCTATATCCAGCAAAGTAAACCAAAAGATTGAAGTGTGATTCTCAAAAATCTGTATTTTCTGCAAGCTTTTTTCAAGATAAATTTAGATGTCTTTCCAAAAAAGGACACTTAGAAACTCCAAAAGGACACCAAAGAACCAAATGATATAAGGAGCCCATATAAGCACATATGAAAGAAAAAAAATCTGAATTTTATAGTATGTGTACAATGCAACAGCAAAGAGCTTTTTTTACATTTTAGAGAAGCCAAGTTGCGATGGAGATGCCAAAAAACAAAAAAAACCTAAAACAATCGCCTGCTGACTGCATCTACTACAGTACACGTGATGGATCCATTCCGTATAACTAAACACAGCAACATAAATATGACAAACCAAAACATTATCGTGAATGTGTGTGGAAACAAAGTGAATGTACGGAAATGTCTGTGCCTGTGCATAAATACAATGTGCGATCAGTGCGTCAAGAGCACTCACACACATTATTATAACGGACTCACGCGTGCTTACTTTACGACTCCTGTACGCCACCGCAATCGTCTTTACCTTGATTGCAGTCTTCATCCACCAACAAAATTAATCGCATGCGTTAACGGGTTAATGATGACAGCCCTACTTCCTATTCATAAACATGAATAGGAATGAAGTAAAATGAAAAAATTTAATCTTTTTTTTTTTATCCATTAAAATGCTTCCTTCACCACTCTTTTAAACATAGTTCATTCTCCACCCAAAAAATCCCACTGTAATAGATGATCTGAATGACATTTACGTAAAACCAGCCCCCATTGTATGTACGTGTGTGGCCTGTTTAGAGCGTGAGTTCGGAGTAAACAAGTCAGCTTGCAGAGTACGTGTCTGTCGTTCATCTCCCCAAATCCAACTCCTAGCACAATATATTACAGTGGCGACGAGGATTAAGAATTCATTTTAGAGACTGTTAGTGGTGGAGAAACACTGTTGCACTTGTCGTAAAAGTAAAGAAAAAGGAACAAGGCACGAGTGAAAAGCCGCTAACAACATAGCTAACATGGCAGCGATGCAGTTTGGCAATGATGAGTACAAGGAAGTAAAGGAGGATTTTGAATCGTACATTGAGCGTTTTGAACAGTGGCTGCTGGCGAATGACAACGAACTAAAAGCAGCGTTGCTAGCGCATTACACACCGCAACCATTAATTATCGCGGAGCTTTTTAAGTTTCAGAAACGCAACCAAAAGAGGGTGAATACGTGGCGGATTACATCGTGGCTTTGAAGCAGCTATCAGTGAGCTGTGAATTTGGACAGTATTTGAGTGATGCGCGCTCAGAGACAGATTTGTGAGTGGACTCAATTCAGAGTCGATGCAACGCAAATTGTTGAGTCAAAAGGATCTGACGTTCCACCAGGCTTGCGAAATTGCGTCATCCATGGAGCTGGCCTCGAGAAATACGTTGGAAATTGCAGGTAAGACAAGGGATTTACAGTCAGTGAATGCTGTGAATGAAGCAAAACTTTTTCATAGGAGAGGAAAAGGGAAGTTTAAGGGGAGAGATGATTCTGAAAAAGGAAAATACCAGAAGAGGGAACAGAGACCAGAAGAAAGCAATAAATGTTACAGATGTGCTGGGAAACATTCTGCTAGAGACTGCAGGTTCAAGAATGAGAAGTGTCATGGGTGTAACAAAATCGGACACATTGCAAGAGCCTGTAGAAATAAAAGAACAGCCGGACAGACACAGTATGTGGAAACAGAGAGTTGTAATGAAGGAAAAGAGGATGAATCAGAGTTATTTGGTGTATATACAATATACACAACCTCAGATGGAAAGAAAGGAATTGTGGTGAATGTGAAATTGGATGGGAAGTGCATGGACATGCAGCTTGACACGGGGGCAGCTGTGTCGCTGATGTCAGAACAGTCATACAAGGAGTTCCTGTCACACTTACTGTTAAGCAAAACCAGCATGCAGCTAATTACATATTCAGGTGAGAGAATTCCATTGCTGGGATCCGTAGATGTGCCAGTGCAGTATGAAAAGCAAAATGTGACACTGCCATTGGTCATTGTCAAAGGGGAAAGAACAGCCCTGCTGGGCCGGAACTAGCTGGAGAAAATTCAGTTAGATTGGCCAAACATTTTCAATGTGGAGAAAGCTGAAGTGGCCTCTGACCCAGCAGTAAAAGCAGTGTTGAGACGACACACAGAGGTATTTTCTGACAAACCGAGCGCAATTAAAGATTTTAAAGCAACTATCCGAGTCCGTCCTGATGCACCACCAATCTTTCAGAACGCTAGACCTGTTCCTTATGCATTACGTGAAGCGGTGGAAAAGGAACTGGATAGACTGGAAAAAGCAGGCATAGTATCCAAAATTGACAGAAGTGACTGGGCAGTGCCAATCGTAGTTGTGCCTAAAAGTGATATGTCCATCCGCATTTGTGGTGACTATAAAGTCACTATAAACCAGAATCTGGAGGAGGAAACATATCAGCTACCCAACACAGAGGATTTGTTCGCTAAGATGGCAGGTGGAACATTGTTTAGTAAACTGGACTTGGCGCATGCTTATCAGCAATTAAAACTGGACCAGCACTCTGAGAAATACCTCACCATAAATACTCACCGTGGCTTGTACAAGTACCATCGTCTGAGTTATGGAGTGGCCAGTGCTCCTTCTATTTTCCAGGCCGTCATGGATCAAATCCTTCAAGGGCTAGATCATGTCATCTGTTTCCTTGATGACATCCTTGTCACTGCCAGCTCAAAAGAGGGCAATATCAGGAAACTGGATGAAGTGCTTACCAGACTGGAGAGGTATGGCCTCAGAGTAAAACTTTCCAAGTGTCAGTTCATGCAAAGCAGTGTTGAGTATTTGGGGCAAAGAAGGACTTCACCCTACTGACAAAAAGGTAGCAGCGATTGTAAACGCCCCAAAACCAAACAATGTCACTGAGCTACGGTCTTTTTTGTGCCTCCTGAATTATTTTGGACGTTTCTGGCAAAATCTCTCCAGTCGGCTTCAGCCTTTACATAATCTGCTTAAACAGAAGCAACCGTGGAGCTGGACTGCTGCTTGTGATATGGCTTTTGAGGAGGCGAAACAGCTGTTGCACAGTGCTGGTGCATTATGATGTAACCGACCCCTGAAATTAGCCTGCGATGCCTCACCTTATGGGGTAGGCGCTGTGATCTCGCATATTATGGACAATGGAGAGGAGCGCCCCATAGCGTTCGCATCTTGCACGCTGACGGAAACCGAGAAAAAGTATGCTTAAATAGAACGACAAGCCCTGTCCATCATCTATGGGGTAAGGAAGTTCCATAAATATATTTACCGATGGAAATTCACACTCATAACTGACCACAAGCCTCTGCTGGCGATTCTCGGACCAAAGGCAGCAATACCAACTTTGGCAGCTCTTCGAATGCAGCGATGGGCATTAGTGCTGATGGCTTATAATTATGACATTGAGTATCGGAAATCAGCTGACCACATGAACGCTGACGCAATGTCCAGACTGCCAACAGTGGTTAAAGATTGTACTGGGGAAGAAGGAAGTGTGTTCTACTTTTCCCAGTTGGATGATCTTCCAGTGTCTGCAAGGGACATAGCCCAAGCAACACGGAAAGATACAAGCTACACCATGAGCACCCAAGAATCTGCCGTATGAAGGCCCTCGCTCGTAGCTACCTGTGGTGGCCAGGATTAGATGGCTGCATTGAAGAGAGAGTGCGCAGCTGTAGGCTGCTGTCTGGCAGTTCAAAAGTCACCTGCCGGGGCGCCTCTTCATCCGTGGAGATGGCCTGAGAGGCCATGGCAGAGGATCCACATTGGTTTTGCAGAAAAAGACAAGCAGTTCTTCCTAGTAGTGATCGACAACCATTCAAAATGGTTAGAGGTTGTGCCAATGTCATCAATCATCTCCTCACTCACCATTGATGCACTCCGAGGATTGTTTGCAGCTTATGGGATACCAGAGGAGGTGGTCTCCGATAATGGGCCACAGCTCGTGTCCACTGAGTTCACTGATTTCCTGAAGGGAAATGGAATAAAACATACACGAGTCCCTGCCTATCATCCGGCCTCAAATGGTGCTGCAGAAAGATCTGTTCAGATACTTAAAAACTCACTTCTGAAAAATGTTTGCGAAAAACAGGGTAAGCAGATGCTTTCACTCAAGCACAAATTGGCAAATTTCTTGATAATGTATCGGAGTACACCTCATACCTTTAACAGGAAAAACACCAGCAGAGCTGTTTCTAAAACGTCACATCCGAACACACTTTTTCACTTTTGAAGCCTGATCTAGCAAAGTCAGTTCAAGAAAAACAGCAGGAACAAAAGAAACAACATGACCGAGGAAGACGAATCCTAAGGTCCTTTGTGGAGGAAGAACCAGTACGAGTCCGAAATTTCAGAGGAGGGCAGGAGAAATGGTTGAGTGCAACGGTGATCAAGCGAAAGGGTCCTGTAAGTTATGTCGTGCAGGAGGGTCAGAGAAGGCGCACTGTGCATGTGGACCATATGTTGCCACGAAATGCTGCAGAAGATCTCCCATGCCTGGTGTGTTAGAGATCCTGAATTCAAGTGTCACTGATGATAACAGAGGACCGTTGAACTTTCCTACCGTTGGTGACTGTTCCATGCCAATCATTGAGCCTAAGAGCCCTGAAAACACAGAGAACCTGACAGCACAAGTTCCAGGGTGTGCAACACCTGCTGTGGAAACTGTTCGCAGATATCCTCAGAGGATTCGTACTGCTCCATAAAGGCTGTATTTATAAGTTACAGTATTATAGGTGTTCTTTGCTAATGCTTGAAGTTAAAGAAATAGTTATAATATTTTGTAATACTGTCATCAAAATGTTTGGAAGCCATTGGGTTTTCCTGTTGCACTAAAATGAAAAAAAAAAAAAGTTTGTTTCTAAGCTGTTATTGTTGTAAGGAAGGAGTGTAATAGATGATCTGAGTGACATTTACGTAAAACTACGCCCCCATTGTATGTACGTGTGTGGCCTGTTTAGAGCGTGAGTTCGGAGTAAACAAGTCAGCTTGCAGAGTACGTGTCTGTCGTTCATCTCCCCAAATCCAACTCCTAGCACAATATATTACACCCACTCTAATATTTACATCTTGTTTCATAAATTATGGTCGTCAGCTGAAGCCTTGAGGAGGAAACTGCAGTCAGAAACCAATGTGAATAGGAAGTTTGCTTACTTAACTCACCTCAAACATTTTGACATTTACGAGAGCTTTTAGACTTATTAGGCAGCTCATAAGAAAGGCACTTATCTTGACGTTATGCAATATCATGCAATAAAGTTGCAGCTATTTCAGAAAACCTCAATGGTGGATACCGCCATTATTAGGCATATTCTAACATTTTAATATCTTCGCTTAGTTTTTGTGAGCTGCCAATACATATTCGAGATATATTTATACAGAGGACAACTAGAATGTCTTCCTCTTGTGGCTCTTTCTTTTCCTTTTTCCTAGTACTTTTTATGTTTTAGCCCCACCCCTGGTTTAATGATTATAAGAAGGAACAATGAAACTCAGGTATTGTAGGGCAAAACAACTGACATATCTGCTTTCATTGGTTCCTTTAGATAAGCAGTCAAACATGTGGTAATGGCAACTGAATGCATACAGAAGAGGTACGTTCACCCCTGCTTTTTTATTTCCTGTTTAAACTGTAATTTTCATATGAAGACCCATATAGTAAGGGTTGTATTTTCATACGCTGTTTTTAGGCTGTTTTTATTTTATAGTATTGGATCGTGTCAATATCTTACTGACCAAAAATGTTAGATCAAGTCTTCAGTGTCAGGAATGTTAAATCCAGTCCGTTTACAAGATCCCATTAACACCAAGTATTGTTTGATACCCCAAATGATATTAACAATTGTATATGATATTTTAATCGTCGTATGACATTAAAAACCTTGAAATGAAGACGATCGTTTTATCTGTTACTCGTGAAGACAAACATCCCTTGAAACCACACAATCATAAAAGCAAGGAAGAAAGAGCAAGGAAAGGAAATCAGAAAAAGTAATGTTAGTATAATAAAAAGGGATCAATGATTATATGGTTAAATGATCAATTATTATAAGTTAATAAAAAACGAAGATGTAAATGATAAAAGATTTATATGATGTTACATGTTATGCAGTTCCTCTTTTCCTATGAAAAAAGTTCACATTTAGCAGTTAAGCAATATCAGTTAAGAAATATTACCTAAAAAAAATCAGTAATTCAGAGTCCAAACAAAATCAGTACGTGTTCAACTGTCCTGTCACTGTTGCTGTTATTGTTGCTGCCGCCATGTTGTGAAGGCGCTGTGTGTTTCGTTGTGAAAGCGAAACTACTTTGTTTGGTCTTCCAAAAGAGGACACGACTAGAAATCAAGTTGTATTTACAACACTGTTCCAGAACAGTTCAACCCAAATATTCAGATGTGTGCAGCACATTTTATGGAGGAATTTAGGTGCCTTAACTTATTTTAAGTCAGATGCCAAGGTAACATTTGTAATTATTAATATTATTTTGGTTCATTCACACTTCCAGTGATTTCTGGAATCTGAGTGTGCGTTCACACACATCCCGTCAAGACAAGTGACATTAGGACATGTGACGTGTAATGTGACACTTCCACTAAGCTGGTGAACGATCTCAGCTTCAGCGCGGATAGTGAGGAGTTCCCTGATCTCTGCTTCATTCTATTTTTTCGTTGTGAACGTTGATCTGCCTTCAAAACACCCGCTAAAAGAGTCGCACGATAACGTGCGTCATCAAAATGACACCCCCTTTATGGCATTGGCCCTGGCTTTTGTTCACACAGGGCTCGTTCAGGGACTGATTACAATGTTACTAAGTCCCCTTCCTGGGATCGTTCCCGGGAAGTGTTTGCGTTCACACAGAAGGCCATTTTTATGGCAATTTTATGTAATTTAACACTAAGTGTAAAAGGGGCTAAAGTAACTTGCGTTACTTATTTGAAAAAGTATCTCAGATATTTGTTGTAAATTTAAAACTAATGTGTTACTTTACTAGTTACTTGAAAAAAGTAATCTGATTACGTAACTTGTGTTACTTGTAATGCAATACCCCAACACTGCTCATGCACATATGATCATGCCATGCTGACTTTACAGAATTCACTGCAATACAGTGACAGGACACTTGAACACGTACTGATTTTGTTTGGACTCTGAATTACTGATTTTGTTCAAGTTTTTATTGCTTTATGGAAGGTGAATGGGTAACAAGAGTACAACATCACAATGATAATAATAACAATAATAATAATACAGGGTTACAGATTTCTACATGCATAGTTGGAACATTTGAGAAAGTACAATACAAGACATATCACCAAGTGTTAATCTATTCATTCTGAGTTGTTACTGTAATATATGTCCAGAACTCTTCCCAAGGAGACAACCCATCCTCTTTCACACCATTTACTCTATTAAGCATAGATTCGTAAGAAGCAATTTCTATCATTGCACTCACCCAATCTTCCAGTGTCTCAGAATAATCCTACTAGCCATTGTAATACATACCATTATAACAGAAAGTACACGCTTAGAAACATTTGGAAATTGAGACTTGTCACCTAATAAACACAGTTGAGGTGTTAGAGATATTGTGGAGCCATACCAGCAACTTATGACATCTGTAACTTGTTTCCAGAATGGTTTAACTAGGCTACACTCCCAGATACAATGTAAAAAGGTACCAGTTTCCAACTGGCATTTCCAGCACAAATTGTCCTTCATCAGTTTCATCCTGTAAAGTCTTACAGGAGTGTGGTAGTATCTGTGAAGGATCTTATATTGAGTGAACTTTCCCCTTGCTTCTTTTATATATTTACCACACCCCACCAAAATGCTGGACCATTTCTCTGGATCAATTTGTCTCTCTGCCAAATGGTCCTTAAATTTCCCAAATCACTACTCCTAAAGGAGTTTACATAGGTAATATTTCTTAACTGTTATTGCTTATCTGCTAAATGTTAACTTTTTTTCATAGGAAAAGAGGAACTGCATAACACGTAACATCATATACATCTTTGCTTTTTTATTCATTTATAATCATTTAACCATATAATCATTCATCCATTTTTATTATACTACTATTTTTTTCTTATTTCCTTTCCTTGCTCTTGCTTCCCTATATATATATATATATATATACACACACACACACATACACACACACACTTTTATGCAAAAGTTTGGGCACCCCTCTAAGTCGAAGTCATAATAATGACTTCTTTATAAGAAAAGATTGTAGTGATATGCCATTCATTTTCTAAAGAAAGCTGCATAATGTGATGTTTTTTCAGACAGAAAAGTGTAGCAGTATTGAGTTGTATGAAATAAAGTTGAATGTGTTTGGGCACCCTTTCAATTGTATTGATTTTCATACATGTAGTCACTTATTGCTGATTAATTACAACACAATATTGATTTGATTGGCTCAGTGAACCTTAACACTGCAAATTCAGGTGCAACCCATCATGGAAAATTATATTTAAGGAAGTTAATTACTAGTTGTGCTTCTCCTTGATTCTCTACTGGAAAGAAGCAACATGGGAACCTCAAAAGAACTCCCTAATTACGTAAAAACTAGGATAATTCATCAATCTGAATTAGGAGAAGGATAAAAAATTTCACAAAGGTTTAAGGTCTCTGCCTCCACAGTCAGAAATATAGTTAGAAAATTGAAGGCCACAGAAACAGTCATTGTCAAGGAAAGATGTGGTAGGCTGAGAAAAATATCCGAAAGGCAACAGCAAAGAATGGTTAGAATTGTCACAGACAAACAACAGATCACCTCCTAAGAGATCCAAGAGCATCTGACTGCTGATAATGTAATTGTACATTGTTCCACAGTCCAGTGCACTTTGCACAAGGGACAACTCAATGGAAGGGTGATGCGGAAAAACACTTTTCTGTGTACTGCCAACAAGCTGAGTCGTTTGAGGAATGCAAAGGCTCATCTGGACAAGCCAGAATTATTTTGGGCTAATGTGCTGTGGACAGATGAAACTAAGATAGAGTTATCTGGTCACAACCAGAAGCGGTTTGCATGGTGGAATAGAAGAACCTGCTCCCTACTGTTCAATTTAGTGAAGGGTCCATCATACTATGGGGCTGTGTGGCAAGCACAGTTACTGGAAACCTTGTCAGAATTGAGGGTTGCTTGGATTCCACCCAGTACCAGCAGTTTTTTAAAGGGGGCATAACACACACAGTTTCACCCAATCTCATGTTAATCTTGAGTACCTATAGAGTAGTACTGCATCCTTCATATCTCCAAAAAGTATTTAGTTTTATCATATTTATAAAAGAAAGATACAGCTTTACGATTCTCTCCGGAAAAAGCCGAGCTCCTGGAGGCGCGCCGTGGGCGGAGCTAAAGAGTGACGAGCACTTGGGTGCCGAATGCCAACAAAACAGACATTTGATGCCGTTTCACTTACCGTCTGCAGTTCTGAATCATGACCAAGATCTTTTATAGCTGGGACCGCTCCATCTTTCAATATCAAACGATGCGCAAATCCAACGTCGAACTGGGCCTTATTTATAAAACGTTCATCAACAAACACACTTGTGAAACTCCGTTGCTGCCCCGGAAAAACAAACTGTATCCACTGTTTACATAACGCTGGGTTCTTTAGGAAGCTGAACAAAGTTATCTTTCCCCCTACAACCAAAAACACACTTCTTTGGAGACATTCTTCCCGAGCAAGTCCCGTGCAGTGCTGCCGCCGGATGAAGCGCGTTGATGGGCGCGATCTCGCTCTCGCTCTGGTCGATGCATGCGTGGGTGCACTCTTCCGGGAGAAATGCCCATATAAGGAGTTCCACCCTCGTCTACGTCATGAAGAGCCACGATCGAAAAAAACGCTCCGAAACTTGTACGAACCCAGAAGTAAGATTTTTGGCACAGAAGTACTGTGTCATACATCCAAATAGTTTTTTGAAACGTTGTCCATGCTTAGCATGAGAATCCAACTCTTTAACAGTGTAAACAACTCTGAATGCATGAAACAGCATTGTACCCCCCCTTTAAGAATAATGTTCAAGAATCAGTCAAGAGGTTGAAGTTACGACGGTGTTGGTTGTTTCAGCAGGACAATGACCTAAAGCATTGTTCCAAATCTTCCAAGGAATTCATGCACAGACACAGAGACAATGTTCTAGAATGGCCATCCCAGTCCCCAGAATTAAATATCATTGAAAATCTATGGATTGATTAGAAGCAGGCTGTATATTGCTCAGCAGCCATCAAGCTGGCAGACGTTCTGCAAGGAAGAATAGTCCAAAACACCTGCCTTCAGAATTCAGTGATTTATCAGTGGCTATAAGAAGTGTCTACAGGCTGTTATTTCCGCAATAGGGGGCTCTGCTAAATATTTATGTTATTATTCCATTGGGGTGCCCAAATTTTTGCACGTGTCTGTTTTTGTTATGATTCATATTTCCTTGTTTCTGTTTCCTAAAGCCTAGCAGATTATTATTTGAAATTATGATAATTATCAGGGGTGCCTAAACTTTTGCATAAAACTGTATATATATTATCCTCATTAAGGCAAAAACAAGCCTAAGTCAGATTATTTAGTCTTTTAACCTTTCTGTTTCTTTTTTTTCTCAGGTGCTATTTGGCTGAAGGGAGAGTTTTTATGGGTCACGTTAAACCAGGATTTGTTGTGCTGGTCACATTGACATTATTAGTGTTTATTATTGCTTATGTTTATGATTTCTCTCTCATGCCAGTCACGCACTCTCTCACCTGGTTTAACACTGCAAATCAAACTAAGCTATATAATGTGGTGTCTGAGGGCTTGTCTGGCAAAAAAAAATTCTGGAATTTTTTAAATAATCAACAAACTATTCAAACAACTACCACAGTGGAAAAACCCAGTGCATCCATTAGAACAGAACACATATCAGTTCACCAATATGTAGCACATCCAAGCAATTATCATTTCATTCTGGACGAACCTGATAAATGTAGTCAGAATCCGTTCCTGGTCTTGATGGTCCCTGTGGCCCCTCAACAGGTAGATGCTCGTAATGCCATCCGGAGCACATGGGGGAATGAAAGCTCAGTCCAGGGAAAAGCAGTGCTGACTCTGTTCTTGGTGGGTTTGACTGGAGGACCTGAAGCTCAACAGCAGCTGGAGGAAGAGAGCCGACAACACAGAGATTTAGTACAGAGCAACTTTGTGGACTCCTACTTCAACCTGACCATAAAGACAATGGTGATCATGGACTGGTTGGCCACTCGTTGCCCTCAAGCGAATTTTAGTATGAAGGTTGATTCTGACATGTACATAGGCCTGGAGAACCTGATGACCCTCCTATTGGCACCCAACACACCCAGACAGAACTACATTACAGGCCATTTGATGTGGAACCAGAATGTCATCAGAAACAAAAACTCAAAATGGTATGTTCCAAAGGAGCTGTACCCCGAACCGAAATACCCCACGTATGTGCTTGGAATGGCATATGTTTTCTCCAATGATCTTCCCCCCAAAATAGTTGAGGCTTCTGAAGCCATAAAGCCTTTTAACATAGAGGACGCTTATGTGGGCGCTTGTCTGAAACGGTTGGGCATAAATCCCTCTGGCGCTCCAGATCCTTCTCAGTTTCAGACCTATATGAATAATCCTAAAAGTCATGACCTTTCCAAGCTCATTACAACAATCGCGGGGTCACCGGAGAAGGTAGTAGAGTTCTGGCTAAATGTGAAGGGACATAAATGAACAGACAAAACATAACACAAGGAACAAGAATGAGCAAAATTAAGACCCAACACGTCCTGAATTAATGGTTATGATACACTTGAAAGGTTGTGATATCTCAAAGAGATTAAATATCAGAATTGACTGCTGTGGAATATAGGACAATGATAGGACTTAGTTCATATGAAATAAAATCAAAATTACAATAAAATGTGTCTATAAATGTAACAGAGTGAACACATGTATTGTATGTTCTTAAATATATTTAAATATAACAAAATAAACTATACATTTAAGGTAAATTATTATTATTATTATTATTTATACATATCATTAATTATTACATGACTAATTAATCTTGACACATGTACAGTCATGAAGGTTTTTTTCTGCATCACTAATAATGAATAATAATAATAATAATAATAATAATAATAATAACAATCAGGTTATTCCAAAATACCTGGTAATTTAATTATTTTAATGAAGATTTTTTTGAAGGACAGCTGTATATCCCTGACATTTTTGTCTTTATGGCCCCTAAAAATATGGTATTAAGAATGGTATTAAAATTAATTCAGAAATTATTACTATTTTTTTTTCTTTTTTTTCCCCAATTAAATAAATTAACGCATCTGGAAAAAAAAAGGTTACTGACCCAACCTAATGTAACATATGCATATGCATATATATATATATGAATGCCTTGAGAAAGTATTCATACTTATATCTGTTTTTTTGCTTTGTCATTATGCTGTATGGAATGGAGTGTTGGCTAATGTGAAAAATAAAATAAAAATAAAGCAGTTTAACAAAAGGCAGCAACATAAAATGTGAAAAAAAAATGATGCAAAATGAACTGAAATAGGCAAAGTACAAACTGTCATGTAAGGACTTTCTTCAACTTCTTCAATTTCTTATACTGGTTATATGAGGATACTGTCAATGGTGATTCACAAGAGACAGAAAGTAGGAGAGTATAGATGGGAAGGGAAGGGAGTGGAAAGTTTCAGAAAAGGATCTGAAGACTGAGAGGCAGATAAACATGTGCAGCAGGCCCAATATATTTTTCAGATATTCAAGATCGCAGAACTCAGAGAACAAATGGTGCTGAAGTAAATATTCACCTACAAACAACTGAAAGAAAAGGCTACATTTTGAGAGGTGACTGAGAAAATTCAACTACTGCAGCGGCCATGCACACAGAAAGTGCTTGTGTCCACCAGTGTTGTTTTTCAGTTGTTTATGTGAAGGGCGTGCTCTCAAAATTGAAATTTTGAAGATTTTACTCGGTCAATAAATTGTTAACATGTTCTGGCACATTGTTAAAATGTTTAAGCAAGTTGCTAACATGTTTTAGCACATTGCTAGCAGAGCTTGACATTAACTTTTTTACTCACAAACCACTGTGGTTAGTGGTTTTCCAAAATGACTAGCCACTCAGCATTTTCACTGGCCACAATTTTGTTATTGGGAAATTACGTTTTATTTGACTAAAGTTACTTCATACTAAAATGTATTGAATTTTTTTCAGGTCTTTTTTTTTTTTTTTTTGCCTATTTAAAGGGCTTTTTTTCCCTAACCTTATTAAATGCATGTGTCAGCTTTCATATTAAATTCTTACATTTTATTAATAATTTCACTTAATATAATAAGACACTATTGGCTGTTACCAATCAAATGAAATCAGTATTAACAAAACCAATCTTTCCACTGCAGAAGAAACCGAAGCAGCTGAAGTGGCATTTAGTTGCATTTACACAAACAGTTTAATGAAGCTGAAATGTAGCATGGATGCATTTACAATGCAAAATTACAATAGCATAAATAATGTTATGAGCTTGGTGTTTTAAATCTTATTTTGTTTGTTTATTTTTTTGTTTTTTAATATACAATATACCCTGGTGCCATTTTGGAGAATATCCACTGAACGTAAACAGCGTATGCTATTCTGTGTCAGGCGGATACGTTTTCTACGTTGTTTACGCTTTGATTTGAACGAAAACAACATATCCGCGTGACGCAGCTGACACAGAATAGCATACGCTGTTTACGTTCAGTGGATATTCTCCAAAATGGCACCAGGGTATATTGTATATTAAAAAACAAAAAAATAAACAAACAAAATAAGATTTAAAACACCAAGCTCATAACATTATTTATGCTATTGTAATTTTGCATTGTAAATGCATCCAGATGTCACATGGATTATTTTACAGATCTCCTTGCTACGTTTCAGGACCTTGATCGTGGTAATCACATTGCTGTCTATAGGAGGGTCAGAGAGCTCTCAGAATTCATCAAAAATATCTTAATTTGTGTTCCGAAGATGAACGGAGGTCTTACGGGTTTAGAACGACATGAGGGTGAGTAATTAATGACAGAATTTTCCTTTTTGGGTGAACTATCCCTTTAAGCGACAGGGGCCGTAAGTCGGCTGACTGGAGCGGCCCGAAAGGAGGGCCCCATAGGGCCCTGAGGACTATAAATAAGTCCCAGTTCGGCACAGTATGAGGACGAGGAGGATTCAATCTCCGAGCTCCCCTCAGAAACTTAACGACAAGGTCGTTCTTGCTGACTGACTGGCCAGCCACAAGAGCATGATTCGCCGCGATGGCTGCCACATACACTTAAGGGGAGTGCCCCTTATCCAGCAGCTCTTGCTTAAAGGTTAACACAAATGACACGTCACAAGTGGACGGGTCTCTGTTCTGTGCTGCACACCAGTCAGAAAAGACTGACCATTTAAGGGCATAGTGGTGTCTCGTACATGGGCTCTAGCTTCCAAAATGGTATTAGTTACACTTGCGGGGAGCTGTAAAGGTTCTCGTCGAGGGGCCAAACACAGCTCGAGCCAGGGATGCCAAATCTTGCTTGAGAGAGGAGGTTTGTCCTCAATGGTATCAGCCAATGGGCTGCCAATAGCAGCTGAATCAACTCGGGGAACTACGTCTGATTCCTCCAGAGTGGGGCCACCAGGAAAACATCTCAGGTTACGTATGTAACCATGGTTCCCTGAGTAGGGAACGAGACACTGCGTCCTCTAGGGGTCGCTATGGGGAACGCCTCGTCGTGACCCGTGTCTGAAGCATACATTGAAAAAACACCAACAACACATTGGCTGGCGACAACCATGACGTCACTACCGGTGCGACTATAGTATAAATAGATGCCGGGAGAACACATCATCCTCTTCTTCCGCTATGGGGAACGCCTCGTCGTGACCCGTGTCTGAAGCATACATTGAAAAAACACCAACTCGTTGGCCGGCGACAGCCATGACGTCACTACCGTGTGACTACCTTGTGACTACCGTGTGACTATAGTATAAATAGGCGCCGGGAGCACACATCATTCACTTCTTTGTCTGAAGCTTGCGTCTGAAGCATGGCAGGAAACCTAGAGGACGCAGTGTCTTGTTCCCTACTCAGGGAACCATGGTTACATATGTAACCGGAGACGTTCCTTTTCAAGGGAACTTCGAACTGCGTCCTCTAGGAGTTGCTATGGGGAACGGTATACCCACGCCACCATGCTGAGGGGAGTGCATGCCAGAAAACAACGGCGAGCACTAAGTCCCAACTCTACCATAGCCATGGGAGTTGCCCCTGGGACGTTAAGATGGTTGTCAGTGACATTATCCCCTACGGCCAAAGGCCCAGGCTACATACCCCAAAAACGTACCTGTTAGGGCCAGAACTCCTGGGCCCGGGGTAGAGCTCAAGGCTTGGAATCAGGAATAGATTCCTTTAAGGGAATACGACCAAGAGCCTAGAATCATACTAAGTCTTGGCCTGTCACACAGGGGCTACCGCA